CCTGTGAGAGACCAGGGTTATGAGTGGCCTGGAAAAACTGAGAGAGCAGGCAGCCTGTATGCGTGTGGCTAATGCAAATCTCTGCTCTAGAGACGTTTTAGAAAGCCCTTCAGGCAGACCTGATGGGGCTACTGGTATTGAAAAATGCTAGTAGATTGTTATACATGAAGACTTTTTAAGCCTATGGTACCTAGCTTGGTCCCTGCCTACCTGGAATATTTACAAGGTAGGAATGATTTCTGCTCTTTTTCTAGTGAGAAACCTTGGAGTTCGAAGGCGTTCAGCCCAGAGCTAGCCATGGTGCCTCATGTCTACAGTCTCAGCACTCGGGAAACAGAAACAGGTGTATCTCTGTGAGCTGAAGGCCAGCCTGGTCTACATAGTGTGTTCTGGGCTAGACAGGGTGCATAACACAGAGAAACCTTGTCACACACAAAGAACAGACTAAGCCTGGAGTTTTGAAACATATGATGTTTTGACTCAGAACAGATCCAGCATTCATGATAGGGTGGGTAAGGCCAGAAGCAGGAAGAGACAGAGTACCCTGTCTGAAATCCCCGTTGTTCTAGCTCTGGAGATGGTTGGGGCAGTCCATGTCAAGCTATACACAAACTGAGGTGATCAAAAAGACTCTTCACAACGGACAACACGGGAGAAGAGAATGGATGGAGGTGGGTAGGAGATGGGTGCAGAAAGAAGCAAGAGGGAGAGCCCTGGACCAGTCCCTGTCAAGAGCAAAGCACTGACTGGGTAAGCCTCAGGTCCCCCCATTCTCAGTCACCAGCACTACATGCCCATCTGTGTGCACGCAAGCGCACACCAGCTCGTAACTGCCTTACGTGTGCTGATGCTAACTGGGTAAGTCATGGAGGGCCCACTGAACGTCCGTGTTGTACACAGTCATGCTGGTATGTATTGGTGCATGAGAAGTACATGTATTCTAGATACATTTCCAACTTTCAGTGAAAATCAAAATATTCGTGTTGGTCTGTCAGATCTATGTGGACCAAAAGGTTGAGAATAAGATGGTTTAGGCTTGCCAGAGACAAACCCTGTATTGATACCAGGTGTCAGTAAGCTAGCGGATTATCCCCTGAAATGCACGTGCTAAGCCAAATATCTGACTCTTCGTGGCAACCCAAAAAAATGAAAAGCTGCCTAAATTCTGTGGACTGTGTCACCGGTCCAGTTCCCTCCGAATGAAATTCATCCTTGAGACACAGCCAAGAGCTCCTGTCATTTGAACTCCCGCCTTCAGTAAGCGGAAAGCACCCTGGGGTGGCTTGCTGGTAAGGCACCAGTTTCTCCTGCCCTCTTATCCCCAGGGACTCCAGGGAATGAGACAATTCCCTCTACTTCCCAGTCGCACCCACCTGCCTAATCCCACCAAGAGGCCAGGTTGGTGGAGGGGCGAGCAAGGGATGCCATTCACCTAAGACACAGAGAAAGGAAGCCAGGCGCCCAGGCCCACACAGGCTAGCAGAGGCAGGGCCGCAGCCAACCCTGGAATCCATAGGCTCCACATTTCACTTCTAGACATGTTTGTGCTTCCTCCCATGTTTGCTTAGTGGTCGGAATGTTTCGGCAGAACCAGGGTGCTGGCTGCTCTGGAGCTCACCTGTTGCTTTGGAATGTATTTATTTATACCTGGGGCCCCATCTCGGCAAACTGTTCCCTTCCTGCAGCCAGAAGGCTGATGTGTTCAAACGTCACCATCTCCCCGGCAACAGCTTGTGATATTACAAACAGCAGATTGTGCCTCCAGGTAGATAGCGAGCGGCCTGGGCAGGTAAAGGGGGCCAAATAAACTTCCTGTTTCCAGGCCAAGGTTTAAAAGGTTTAAAAGAACAGTAAAGTACCCTGACACTCCCTCCCTGGCCCTAGAAGAAGGCAGGCTCTTGTCTAGAGAAAGGAAGGCTTTGAAAATTGTGGTCCTGGCTTGCAGTTTACCTGTCGTATGAGGGGAGGCAGGGACATTTCTGTTTTCCTTCTGAACTCGCCCCCCACCCCAGATCCACCATCTCTCCACCTTTAATTTACCCATAGTCTAAAACTCCTCTTGCCAAGGCGGTAACTTCAAGAGAAGTCTAGACGTGGAGATAAACTTCCATATTAACACGCGACTTGACTTGTGTTGTTCTCCATGACAAAGAGAAGGGAAAGGTGCTGGGGAGGTGGCTCATGGGTAAAGGGCTTGAGTTAGGATTCTAAGCACCCCCCAAAAGCTGCCCTTGATAGTGTGTGTCTGTAACCCCGGTGCTGGGAATTAGAGATAAAAGGATCCCAGGGCGTTAAAGAATGGTCAGCTAGTTTAACTGAAATAGCAAGGCCCAGGTTCAGTGAGAGACCCTGTCTCAAAAACTAAGGTGAATGTGGTGGCACACGCGTTTAATCCCAGCACTCGGGAGGCAGAAGCAGGAGGATCTCTGTGAGTGCGTGGCCAGCCTGGTCTACATTGGGAGTTCCAGACCAGGCAGAACAACATAGTAAGGCAAGTCTCAAAAAAGCAAACAAACAAGCAAAACAATAATAATAGCATGAAAACTAAGGCCAACAATAGAGGAAGATATCTCTGGTTTCCACTGTACAATCATGGCTCCGCATACATACACAGAGGTGCACACACAGAAAATTGATTTTTTTTAAAGTAAGACAGACAGGAGGAGGGAAGCTAGGGTGACAGCAACACACTCAGCCTCCACATGCGTCTAAGTAGGGCAGCATGCAGAGGACTTCTGGGAGCTTGGCTCCAGCAGTGCTCACAGTCTGACTCAGGTCAGTGTCCTGCTGTTGCCAGACTGCCATTCACAGCCTAACCCCTACATACTCTCATCTGGTTGTGGTGTATCACCTGTCACTCAGCCTAGGGCCACCTCCCGCACTTTGACATTCTTCTAAGACCCTGAAAACGGACTAAGGGAGCAGAGGGAGTAGATATGACTGAGAGATGTGTGCAAGGTCAATCCCTCTTCTAGTGCCCGTGATGTCCTCGCCCAGTGACTTTCTGCGTGTCCAGACTCGTGACCATGGCCACGGTGTTCTCAGCAGAGTGCTGGGCCTTCGATCTGAGCTAAAATGCTGCATCATGACTATAGTCTAAGTCTGTCTTATGGAGAAACTGGAGGCTCACCTTGCCTCTCTGCTTTAGATTTAGGCCATACACTGCCTTACACGTCACCTGCATTTTCTATAGCTTAAGACTGTTATCTTCTTGGAGGGAGGTACAAATTTCTCTGAGCAGAAGAGACATCTTGCTTGTGCTGTGGAGAAAGCAGGAGCCCCTAGAAGGCACCCCTCTTCCTACGAACCTTGCAGGTCTAGACCTTTCCCATCCTGCAAGCCCACAGACAAAGCCCTGGAAAGTTCCCCCTGAAGCACACTTGGTAGGACCACCTCTCTCTGCAGATCCACAAGCGTCTCAGTTCATCTCTCTATTGTTCTTGATAAGCTGTCTAGGGAAAATGTCCATATCTGCTCATCTATGTATCCTCCATGGCTTTGAACATAATAGCTGCCTAATAGATACCTAATAGGTAGGTGACATCATGGTCTGGATTGTTTGCACCCACTCTCCCCTCGTGGTCCTCTCCCTCTCTCCCCCATTCCCTTCCTTCCTGTTGGAAACGGTCTTACATAACCCAGGGGCTGACCTCAAAATTGCTTATAGATTAGGCTGGCCTTGAACTCACGATCTTCCTGCCTTTACCTGTCAGTGCTGAGATTAGAGGTGGGAAAGAAAAGGAGAGTGTCTTTGTGCTTCTTGTACTGCCTGAGACACTGAAAGGAACTAGTTTAGACCCAGTCAATGGTGCCTGCGCTGTATGCGTCACACCGAGGCCAAGGAAGGACATCAAGTGTCCTGCCCTATCACCCTTCCCATTATTCCCTTGAGACAGGGTCTCTCACTGACCTAGAGTTCATTGTTTTGACTAGACCGGACAGCCAGTGAGTCCAAGCATGCCTCTTGTCTCTTTAGACCCATGACAACTGGTCCAAATTTCTATCATCTAATATCTCCATCTTTGTTGATAAGTTATCTGGGGTTAGAGTCTGCATCTGGCCAGTTAGAGTTGTCCATGTCCAAACCCAACTTTTACAAGAGTGTTGGCAAATTGAACGCAGATCCTCAAGTTTGCACAGCAGGTGTCCTTCCCACTGGGACGTCTCCACAGACCCCTATTGGGGTGGGATGAACGAAAATGGCCCCCAATGGCTCATAGGGTGTGGCATTATTCGAAAAGATTAGCATATGTGGCTCTGTTGGAGTAGAGACGACCTTGTTGGAGGAAGTGTGCCACTAGGGGTGAGCACTGAGGGTTCAGAAGCTCAAGACAGACTCAAGAGTCTCAAGAGAGACTCTCTCTTCCCTCACTTTCTCTTGCCTGCCAATTTCCACGTAGACCTCTCAGTTACCTCTCCAGTACTGTGTCTGCCTGTGTGCCGCCATGCTTCCCGACACAATGATAAGGGACTAATGGAAGCCAGCCCTAATTAAATGTTTTCCTCTAGAAGAGTTACTGTGGTCATGGTCTGGTGTCTCTTCACAGCAACAGAAACCCTAAGACATCTATCTTTCAATTAGTAAAATCAAAGACTTTTTTTTTTTGAGATCTTTTCTTAAGGTTCACTAGGCCTGGCCACGTCTCAACGGTAGAGTAACCACTTTTCTTGCGAGATGCCCTCTTTCAGACCCAGATGAGACCCTGTAAGAAGCTCCCGATCCCTCCTTCTCCACGAATCACAGCTCCTCCCACTGCAGCGTACTTCTAGGCCTGACCATCCCTTCCCAGCACACAGGAAAATGTCTGTTTTTAACCCTTAGCTTCTGCAGTTGCTGCAAGTGGCAGAAACCCAAAGGGCTGCCAGAAACAAGTTAAAAATTGATTTCTTCATCTCAGAAAAAGTCTGAAGGAGATGGTAGAAAAACATCACCAAGGGAACTTCCCGATATCATCAAGGACCAGAATCCTTCAGTGTGGTCTGCTAGCCTCAAACCATACCTTGCACTTCATGGATGATGAGGGTTGCTTGGTTTCCAGCTTTCACGCATTGTACCCACAAGGAAGTGGAAAGGGGTGAACTTCATCAACAGAGTGGGCAGAATCTCTGTGTCAGCTTTGTGTTTCAGAGACCAGGAGCTGCTCTAGGAGACCAGAAATTTTAGGGGACTCTTCGGTATCATAGAGAGTGAGGTGACTTTCCCAAGACCAGTAGCTGGTCAAACCTCACCACACAGAGAACCCCCCACACACACACCCACACCCACACACACACAGAGTCATTCTGACTCTTCTACCAGAGAGAGGCAAGGGCATCCTGGCTAAAGCAACCTCCTGAAGCTGTCCTTAAGGAATCTGTGACCTGGGGCACTGGCTTTCGGTGTGTTCGGCCCAGCTGTGACATGTGACCTGCAGCAGGCTGCTCTCGTGCCATCTCGCACGGTGGAGTACCGCCCTCCCCTTCCAGCAAGAATTCCACGACCAGCCCCACCAACCACCCTCACCCACACAGCGTGGCAATCCCTGACACCTGGCAGGGAACTGGGGCTCAGAGAAGGCCTTGCGCTTGCTGCAGCTGCACCAATTCTGGGGTCTCCCTGAGTCTGCAGGCCAAGGGTTCCCTGCCCAGACCTGTGGCTGCCTGCAGACATGGTCCTTATCTTCCCGAATCCAGCCCAAGCCCTCTGGCTCTTGTGTTGCCTCCCACAGCAAGAGCCTCAGGAAAGGGAGATGAGCTGGCAGCTTGCCTGCCTTCCCTCCCAGGGTGCCAGGCTCTCTGATCATCCCACTGAGGGGTGGCGGCTCCACTTATGAAACTTCGCACAACCATTTGAAGGCAATATCCTGGCTGTAGGTTCCCGCAGGCTGGGAAGCAGGGTTCTGTGGGTGCTATTTGGCACTAAGGGAGCCCACAGGGGAGAGGCACAGTATATTTTACTTGAGGGGCGGGAAGTGTAAAGCCCTTGTCTAGCAAAGAGACAAAAAGAGACTGAAGAAAGGAAAACAGCTAACAAATAAGGCACGTGGGACTCTCCAGACGTCTAACCTTGGGGGATGTTTTTCCTGTCTGCTGCTTGGGTTGACAGCCTGTGCTCAGATAAAGGGAACTATTCTTGCTCCTTCTCCACAGGTGAGGTTGCACTAGGCCACCAGGTTGCTATGATGGGCTGTAGCGTATCACAATGCCTAAGTGTTCTTGCTAGTGACATGGGACCTTTCCAAAGAGATGCTAGGGCCACTGGCAAGTCAGCTCTAGGGTGGACCTACAAAGCCAGATATTTTCTATGGAAAAGCTTGAGGTCAGAGAATTTACCCTGAAGAACAGCTTAACTTTCAATTTCTTCAGTACAAAACAAGATTCCCAAGGTCTTCTCCTCCTCCCTGCCTCTCCCCTCCCCGCCCCTCCCCTCCGGGCCGGCGCCCGGGGGGCCCGGCTGCCCGGGCGCGGCGGGGGGCCGGGGCGGG